TAACAACAAAAAAGAAACTAAGAAACTTGAGTTTTTAGAATGAGAAAAGAGACTCAGAAGTGAAACTCTTCATCGATTCTCTGTTACTATATTTTTTACGCAATGTTTTATAATGTCGGCACATAAATTAATGTTATACTATGAGGTGATAAAGAATTCGTGAAAAGTCGCACTATAAGAGAATTTTCTTAACATTTCTTTTTTAAAAATTACCTAACACGAAATTCCCTTATTCTTTGGCCTTTTTAAATAAGTTGCGAATGTTGCATGTTGTTAAGAGCAATTGTCAATGAAAACTAAGAAATTTAATAAGGTGGAGATGGAAGATTAGTTGGTTGGTAATTGGTATCATCATATGTAAGTGTCTTCTAATTAAGTTTATAAAAATGATCTGTAATGTCCCCGGAGCATTATTTTGCATAAAATGATATTTAATACAAGAAGATAGATGATCAAGTGGGGTTGAGAGATAAACCTTCTTTTTAGCATTTTATCAACACGTACATGATTCCATGTCAATGAAAGCTAGTGGGAAATGTTTTATGATGATGATTAAAATGATGTCCAAATATAATTAATTAAATTAAGCTTAGTATATTCACACTCAAACTCGATGCACATTTAAAGCTAAAGAGTTAGTGCTTCTCACTTTTTTTTCTTGTTTTTTTTCTTTTTTTTTCCGATCAGGTTGAAAGTCTTGACAATATAACAACAAGGTCACATAAACCGAAGTTGAAAAAACGGAAGATTGCACATTTCTGTAAACCGAAGTTGAAAAAACGGAAGATACATATTTTTTATTATATACGCACGCTATATGAAATTATGGAATACATTATACAGGAAAGGGATCCTCTTTGGATCCCTTCCACTAAGTCCTCCCCATCAAACAATATAGGCCCTTGAAATTTGATCTAATGACTAAAGTTATTATAATTTTTAAAGTGAACCCTTGTTTGTAGCCGTTAAATCAAATTTCAAGAGTCCGGATTAGTTGATCAGGAGGACTTGGTTACATTATCAAGATCAAAGATTGAGCCACGTTGTCTTTTCTTTCTTCGTTTGTTTGTTATTATTTTATTGGCTTTGTTTCCTTCTATTTTTGTAGGCTGATTAAATGGTGTTGTAAGTTGTCAAACTTTTACGTGAGATGGCATTGGCATCCATATTATTAAGTGTCTACCTCGTTGTGCAGAAGTGGGGCACCTTCAGCAGTTTATTGTCATCACATGGTCCTGAATCCTGATGACCGTCAACTGGTTAGCGTTTTAGTTGATGAGGTATGAGTTTGGATGCCCTAAAAATTATTAGGGTTAAATTTGTTGGTAAACATTGTGATTTAAATTTGATTTTCGTTGATTAATGTAAGTTTACACTATATCTATATATGAGGAGCAAAAACCAATAGTTTTGATTGCATGCACAGTTGTACCTGCCTTATTTTTCTCGGTACGTGAAAAGAGGTATTGACATAAAGCTTGTCAATCTATTATACGACTCATTAACTTGACATGGAACGACACAAAAATAACAGGTTTCGAATCAACAGGTTAATCAGTTGAGTTGTTATCAAGTGACCTGTTATCAAGTCAGGTCGTAGCGGGTCACCCGTTAAGAACTCACTAAGATATCGTTTCTCAAATATAGACATTAGACATGTCAATTTCTTGCATGACCCATTAACCTGACACGAAACAAATCCTTAACGAATTAGGTCATTATCGGGTTATATGTTAAAAACCTGTTAAGATAACATATTTGATACGGCACAACACGACCCATTAAGATAACGGATATGACACGAAAAACGACATGAACACGATAAACACAATCTATTTGTCAAGTCTACAAACTAAACATATATAGTAGAGTTTTCGGATAAGATAGCAATCAACGCATTAATTAGTGCAACTCATGATAGATTGTTAGTTGGCTATTTTCAAGTCAATGCGTTCAACATGCATGCATCATCGTGGTTTTGAAAGGTTTGTTGTGTAACTAGTATTAGAAAGTTGAGCAGACAACTCTGATTTTGTTTGACCTCTTCTTTGCGGCAGATTGTGTGTATGGAGAGAGTTGAATAATTTAGTCTTCGAGATTTCTTTTATTTCCCTCGGATGTGCGAATGTTTTCAAATTTTTTATGCTTCCAGAACATGCAAATGGTTGGCGCAATCTGAAAACCTTAACCAGATTGATGCGAGAAACTGATTTGATCATTTTCAACAGAAAAACAGGCTGTTAGCAAGGTGTCTTGGACCCGAAATTATGATTACGATTACGAAGCAGAAGAAGAAGATTATTCACTAAATATAAAATAGACAATTCTACTGTGTTTCGATGTATTGAATATATCAATGCATGTTATAAAATCCCATATAAAAAGCGATAAAATCATAAGTTTTTTTTTTAAAAGGAAGCACATGCAATGGTAGATTCATGAAAAATCATTCGAAGGGTTACATGTGAAAGTTCACAAACATTTCTTAGATATGTAAACCTTAAAAATTAAACCATAGTTCCATCATTCACAATTTATAAAACAAATAATAATATAACTGTCCACGACACGTTTTTATATTTTGAAAATGATGCATTATAGGTTTCATTATTAATGGAAAAAACATTGCTCTCAATAAGGCCAAATCCTCTTCGAGACATTTTATCAAGCAGTTGGAGTGCATGTATGAAAGGCAACTTTAACTTTCAAGAGGGCAGCACCAAGTCATCATGGAGATTTACCATATTTCAAGGGGTTCGGTGACCCTCCTTGTTCCTTAATGGATTCGCCCCGGACCACAAGGTGTAAATAACACCATCATATAAATTAAAATTTAATTTTTACCTTTCACACACCTTTGTTAATTTTTTGTCATTGATATTTTTTAATTTATTCAATCCGACAACTGAAAATTAAGAGGATGTGTGAGAAATAAAAATAAATACATGGATAACGCTTAAATTGAACAATGTAGAATCAAAAGTGGGCTGGGTTAAACTAAAGGGGGACACTTGTCAGGCCCAATTGGATCCCAACATTGATATATGATATGATCTTAGTGAGTGAATCTTATTGAGTTGGAAACTTGGAAGAGGGAAGAAAAAAAATGCCACCATTGGAAGTAAATGTGGAATCAAATTCTGTGAGGGAACTCCTTGATTTGATTGACAAACAAATGATGCATTTCTTGTTGATTAGAAGAGAGGAATCAAGTTACTAATATCTAGCTAGAAGCATCAATGACGATCAATGTCATTGCTTACGAAAAACTGCTTTTTTTTTTTTTTTTTTTTTTTGGCATACATGGGAATATGCTTAGGAAGCAAATACCAAATTGATATGAGCGATTGAAAAAAGGGGTGCTATTACGACTCTCACGTCTAATCTGACAGATACTCTAATTTGAATAACAGAGTTTTGAGTGAGACTGTCATATACGACAATTCACTCGCATTAGGTAAAATTAGGTGATCATTGAAATATCTCTTAAGACAATTTTACTCGAAACCTTTTCAAATCAAAGACATTGCTCAGTCACTTTGACGTTGTAAAATTCGTAGATGGCTACTCACCGTTACCTAGTGTCGAAAGGAGAACTATTTGGTAGTCCGCTAGGGTGTTTGGTGAACATGATTGCGTGCTACGACAACGTTTCAATCCCACGTGCTTTCATCAAATTTGACATATATGGAAACTTTTGGGTTTTGACCATAGAAAAAAAAGGCTCGACATCATAGGCCTTGTTGGGCCCATTTCTTACCCACAAAAAAAAAAAGTAAGGAAAACTAATAAAAATCGATTGAAAACTTTGAGTTTTAACGATAAGGATAAAATAAAGAATAAAATGAATAGTACCATGATTGACTTTTTAGCGTAAAAATGTGGTTTTTCGTTAAAGTGAACAGTCCATGAGCTTTTCATTAAAGTTCCCAAAAAAGTATGGTGCCTTGTTCAACCAAGATGCGGGTCATGGTTGCATTCTCAATTTTTTTTTTGTTTTTTTGACAAGGGTAAAATTCAATACCAATGATAATAAGTACAACAAAGGCCCAAAAAACAAGTTAAGCGCAACAAAATGGGCCTTAAACACACAGAAGACGAAGCCCTAAGGCCAGCCTTGGAGCCCAACACATACAAACAAACAACTTAGAAAAAACCTAAAAAGTTAGGCTTCATGAAGCTGCATGTTATCGCCAGAAAACCACACAACAATTCATCTACCACCACAAGCACATGGATCACGCCAACAAGAACCCTAAAATTTGTTAAAAAAAGGGTCGGCATAATCCTCTAAGGACCGTCGCCACATAATCAAGGAAGCATGCAGGAAGAAAGAACTCAGAGTAGCATTGTCGACAACGGTGAATACCGAAAAGGACCAACAAAGGTGGTGGTGCGAACACCTGAGCCAAAACTCTACACACTCTTCCATCAACCCGAGACAGAACGCGATAAATAAAAGTTTAATTAAGAAAGAAACTTGATACATCTGCATAGCATTTCTCATACCGAGTGGGACTAACATGAGCTCGGTTGAAACTCAAAACAAAAGTTTAATGCTTTTGCAAGAATTGTCTAACCAGACATATAGTCAGACAATCCTATCTAAGTTTCTTAAAAAGTATGTTATCAAGGTTCTTCTTCATATGAAAGCATTAAAACATATCGTTTTAGCTCAAAAGATGACATATCATACATCAACGTTATCTCAACTTGATTCAGATATAAAATTAAACTCAATTTTTTGTAAGTAGCTCCGCAAAGAGGTTACCATGTACACTTCCTTAGTAAAAAAAAAAACAGAAGAAAATTGTAGAATCATTTTTAGAATACTAATAACAACTCCGTTATAAAATCCACCCATAAACCACTTTTGCATTGCTTACAAAATTCATTGGGCCTCCAGTAGGATTTTTGGGTGAAGAGTTGGACATACAAAATTTGGGCCTGGGGAAATAATCAAAGCCCTATACCACCAAAATATAAATAAAAAATAAAAAAAGGTGTGGTTTTTGGTTGTTGACGTGAAATGCGATGAAGGACGGCAGATTTGGTGGGAAAATGTTGAACCGCGATTCAGCACTGATCGGGCTGATCAGTTGCTTTTGCTTTCACTCCGCGTTTCTTACTAATTTCGTCGCCGCTTCTTCTCCGGACCCGCTGCTCGGATCCGCCCGCGTCGTTTTTCAGGTAAATAAATGATTTGAAAACGAAGTAGAAATTAATGTGAATTTTTGGGGAAGAATTTGAATTTTGATTTGCGTGATCTTGCAGACCAACTATGGCGACATTGAATTTGGGTTCTACCCGACCGTCGCCGAAGACGGTGGAGCACATTTTCAAGCTCGTCCGCCTCGGCGGCTACAACACCAACCACATCTTTAGGGTTGAGAAAGGGTTCGTCGCCCAAGTGGCCGACGTGGCCAGCGGAAGGTCGGCTTCGATGAACGAGGATCAGCGGAGGGAGGCGGAGAAGACGGTGGTCGGCGAGTTCAGTGACGTCAAGCATGTCAGGGGCATCCTCTCTATGGGAAGGTACAGTAAAGTCTGAGTCTTTCTGATTTACTTGATTAGAAATTTGAAGTTTTTGCCTCTTCGGGTCTTTAATTATGAATTATTATCTGGGTAATTGTTGTTTTTTGTTAATATTTTGTGTAGGCACGAAGATCCGAACAGCGCCGGATCATCCTTCTCAATGCTGCTTGGAGATTCCCCTCATCTTGATGGGAAGGTAAGCTGACTACACTTTGATAACTTCTTTGAATTGGGCATGACACCGGTAATGTGTTGAAGTAAGAAATCCTTTTTCAGTATGCAATATTTGGGAAAGTTACTAAAGGTGATGAGACCTTGAAAGCACTCGAGGAACTCCCTACTCGTCGGGAAGGGATTTTCGTGATGGTATGCTTATTCCTATGCTTTTGCTTGTTTCTATGTTTCAGTAAGAATCGATTGGTCAATTTCTGTGAACTTAGAATTATAGTTTTTATGTGTTATGTTGGGTACAATAGTATAGCTTCTTTTCACCCTTCTAAGATATCTGTAGATATTGCCATTATATCTGATGTGTAAATGTATTAGAGATGGGAGTGGAAACTAAACATTTTTCACTCTGCCAGGAAGCTTGACGTATATTTGGATGAGTTGCTGTATAATAATTAAACTAAAAGTCTTGCTATGTGGAGTCATTTGATTCTCACTCTCTAGTGTATAAATGTTTTATCTCCATGCTTGAACTGTTTGCATTAATCGTATGCGGTAAAGCAGTCACGCTTCTTACTACAGCTTAGTAGTATTTTTATGCTTCAGTTACGCCTTTATCATATAAAGCAGCCATTATTGTCTCTTTAATTTATTTTCCGTTTCTTTCCTCCAGCCCACCGAGCGCATTACAATTCTGTCAACATATTACTACGGTGAGAATTAAGCACCCTTTGATTTGTTCGTTACTTGTACTAGTTTCATATGACTTGAATTTTTAATGGAATCTGGTGATTCATTAAATGATATCTATAGGTAAGTTTAAGCTACATAATCTTGCAGTGCAAGGTAACTATTTTGTAAATTGCTTTCACTAGTACCGTGCTTGAGAAAATTAATGATGTTTTTAGAAGAGAGAAAAATGAAGGGGTGGGAGCTGTACGGTTACACAATTGTTTATTTCCAGATATAGTGTAACTTGGCTATACGTATTGACACTAGCTTCAGTGACTGGATTAAGGAGCAGCAGTAGGTTTTTTGAGAAGTTTGAGACCGAATGCTGAACCATGCACATTGCTGAAGTTCTCTGTTTCATTACTTTTTTCCTTGTTGATACGTGTCTGCCAAATGAAGACGGGTCCAGTGTTCGTTGCATTCAAGATTTTAATCGTCACATTTAAATTGGATGAATTTACATTGTGTTTATGGCTTGATTGTGTTGCTTTTAGACACCGAGATGGAGAATTGCGAAGACACGAGGTCCATTATGAAGCGGAGGCTTGCTGCAGCTGCCATTGAAATCGAAAGACAGGTAACTAAGAGTTACAACAAACATGATTTTTTCAAACATTACAATGCAAACATGGACTTATCGTGTGTCATTTTTGTAGAGAATGAAATGTTTCCCATGACATAGCAAGCAAATATCCGAATGAAGAAATGCTGTTTGCTGTCAATCTTCCAGATATCTGCTGTATTTTGTCAGAAAACAGTTTACAAAGGGTGAGAAAAGTTCAAAGATCCATTCAAGCAGACGGGAGACAATACTTACGGGGTCAATCGAGTATCCGCCTCTGTGAATACCTCTGACGCTAAAATTGTCTGTAAATGAACGTTGAAACCTGAAGTTATACTGGATGTTGATAATGGCTGACATGTATGTTGAGGCCACACATTTGATTCCTGATGTTTGCTGTGAAACTGCTGAAACCGTTGCTTGTGCAAGGGGAAGCAAATAATGGATTTATAGTGGCTTAGTTATAAACCAAATCCAAAGTCTGAAATTCGGGGTTTGATTTACCGTCGGTAATATTATTCTTCATTGTTGCTTGTATGGATAACACTTCCGTTCAACGAGAATTTAACTGTGGATCTGTGACGGTTTCCCAAGTTAATCATGCTATACATCACGGTAAGGCTTTCTTACGTGGAGGACGAGAATTGAACTCTTGTTACTTGTTACTTGGGTTTTTACCACCGAACTAACAAGAATATACGCTTATACGCAGCTTCGCTTAACAATCGAAAACATGTAGAATTCCTAATCGACCGGAAGTACCCTATCGCCTTTAGGCCGTAAAATGTATGGTGGTAGATTCAGTGAATCTTCCCACAACATTCACCGTAAAGACGAAAGCGACACGGTTACATTCAGTTGACAGTCGATTTGGTTCAATCCAAAACATGTAACTGGCCTTACAGACAAGGAGTCATGTGTTGCATGGTGAAATTTATCGAGCAACCTAATCGACCAGGAAGGTTAGAGATGAGATGGCCTACACCAACATGGGAATCACAGTGAGTGAGAGTCACATGTCTGAATCCGGTAAGAGTAAGCAAACTGTGCAGTGAGGAGGAAGATGGTAAGTTGGTAACCCTCCCAGCCTCCCCCATGTGTTCCAAACTTTCGGACTCATGGAAACATAACATGTGCTGCCTGCTACTGATGAAGCCCGAATCGGACTTAATCCATTTACCGTCTAATTAATAAAGGATTAAGAGCGTGTTTACTTACCAGTAATAGGAATTGGAATCATTTTGACTCTTGAGTTTCATGTGTTTTTGAGAATATTGGTACGAGCATCGTTTGAATTCTTAAGGTCTCCAAATTCCTTCTTTCTCTCAACGGATTTTCACTACCTTTAGGAAATCCTCTTTTGGCTTCACTTGAGAGGTTGACGCAATCCAAGACGAAGAGGAAGCTAAACCCGTGGTGACGAATAACCCCCTCAACCTCTTTGAGGAGCAAATGAATCAAATGAATTAATTAGACTAGCTCAGGCAAGTTGGCTACAATAGTATGTCTCCGTCATTACATCTAAGTCCGAACCGTTTTCATTAATTAGACTAATTTAGAATGTCGTCCAGCCTAAGAAAAAGAAAGGAGCACATGGCAATTAGGTAGGAGAGCTGCATTCCAGTCCATATCCAGGAGTTGTGTCCCAATGAATCGACTCAAGTAGGCTTGACTTTTGGGGAGATGGAAAGTCTTACGATGTTTCAGATCGCTTGAATGTCTTCAAGTGATGGAAGACAAACATGCCCACATGGCTTTAAAACGACAACACACACCAAAGTCGTCTATGTGAATTACACGGCCTCAATCTTCTTCAACCCCATACGTAATTAATTTTGTGTTTCTTGCCCCCCTTTGCTTTTTTTGGTTGCTAATTCCCTCGACCTATCACGTGGAAGAATAAACCTTTTTTTTTCGAATTTTGTTTGGTCCCAAGCTCCTCTCACAATGCCACCTACAGTTGATTGGAGACACAACGGTAAAACGACTAAAGTCACAAACAGTTTGGACCCAAAATCCCACGTCGGAACAGCAGCCTATGTCGGGGTAGTTTCTTTACAAGCCGATTTTCTATGATGCGGTTGTACCTGTGAGCCCGTATCGATTGGTATCAGAGCAGTGTTGGCTCAACGAGAGAAAAGAGTTACCATCAATGTCGACAAAATGGGCCGATGAGATTCAAAGATATGAAACCGGTATAACGAAGTTTTTTTCCGTTGTCGTTCACAAACAAAATTGTCCTAATGTTTTAAGAGACAATAGGATGCTATTCACAACTTTCAAAATTTTCCATGAGCCATAAATATTACAGTGACAGAACACAATTATACTTACGCACACTAATGCAGGTTCGATCACAACCAACTCGAAGGCCGTCGACACAGAAATTAGTCGGCTGTTACATTAGCAATGCCATAGTCGTATTTAGGTATCATGTGGATAATGCGTTATGACAAGCCCGTCCGGATTGGATAATGAGTTATCACGTTTCTGAGACCGTTTAAAACCTAAGTTTGGTATGGGCTTTTATGAGTTTGCCAACTGCTGAAATCACGAATGCAAATGCCGGCATTTCGCGGTTTTTTGTATTTGTTTGGGAATGTTTTTATGTAGAAAATACTTTTGTTCTTGTGTTTTTTTTTTTGGTTAAAAAAAAAAAAACCTGTAGTATAAAGCAACAGTGAACCTTCAAAAGAAGCGTCACGTGAGGTCTGTAGTAGGGCCACCAAAAAAAAAGTTACTACGTTGTAACAACCGGATCAAATTAACAAAAAAAAAAAAGAAAAAAAGAGAGGAGAATTCCGGTGTTTCTGAAGTTTTTCCTTAACACTATGTTTGGTCGAGGGAAATAAACTTAGAATTTGCGTAAAACTCAGAATTTATAAATTGACATGCACCAATTCCTTTGTTTGGATTCATAAACATAGAAATTTAGAATTTCCTCGTGAAAAAAAAAACTTGGAATTTGGGACCTCCAATTCCCAAGTTTAAATTACATGTAAATAGGTGTCATTTCTCAATTTCTATGATTGTGAGCTTAAAAATAACAAATTTCGTATTCAATGCCATTGTTTTTTTTGGTTAACCAAACAAAAAAATTCACAAATTCTATAAAATAAAATCCTATCATTTCAATTTCCGTTATTTTAAAATTCCTTAGTAATCTTAAATTTCTTCATCCAAACATAGTGTAATTTTTCAAGTGCATACCATGTATTTTCTCTTGTAATTTTTTGAGTTTCGAACAATTTTCATTTTCTCCTTGAATATTGAATTCATATATAATAATAAAAGAAAACTAATAAAAAATACTTTAAAACTTTAATTTTTAACAAAAAACCATCTAATAAATTTATTTAATGATAAGGACAGAGAAAGAAAAAAAAATTGTCACATGCGCCCTTGTTGCTGCTTTGTTCATCATTATCAATTGTATGTTGCTTCTGTATATTTACTCTCTCTCTCTCTCTCTCTCTCTCTCTCTCTCTATACACACACACACACATATATGTATACATACATACCCTATTATGTATTATATATTTTGGACATAATGAAACACTGAAGAGTACGTTGTGCAACTTTATTTATCAAGTCAATATCTTTATACCTATGATTTTGATTTGCATCATGGGCGCGCGTACACCCACCCCCGTTCCACACTCCTCTTTTTATCCCGTTGTTAGCTATCATTAAGAGATTTTTTTTTTACTTCAAATTAAAATACATTTCCCAGTTTTATTTTTATAGTGTTGTTTCCCAATAGTAGTGAAGATGACAATAGAATTTTCAACGTGTCGGGGACACGAGGTGGTACACCACGTCTTTTATACAAGTTGTGAGATTCTTGTGTTAAAAAATTAATAACATAAAAAATAAAATTCCCCACCACTTACATAATAACACGTGGTGTACTACTTGTGTTACAGGCATAAGGAAAAATTTCCTACCACTTATATAATATCCAATATTTTAATTTGGTAATTGAAAACAGATTTTTAGATATAATTACTAAGAACATAATTTTCTCAAGGTTTTGATTTGAATGATCACTTATAGGTTTATCATTTTCGACGCAATGAGTGCTTTTACAGGACCAAACATGGTCTAAGTTTCAAACCTTATGAAACTGGATCAAGAAGTAGATAATATTTATGAAACAAGACCAATAAGTAGACACTATTTGTGAAACGAAACCAATAATTAGGTTTTATTTTTAAAACTAAACAAATAGGTGGAAACTATTTATGAAACTAGACTATACACTATTTATGAAAATGGACCAAGAACTAGACATTATTTATGAAACATGACCAAGAACTAGGCACTATTTATGAAAGTGGACCAATAACTAAACACTATTTATGAAAATGGACCAAGAAAGAAGCACTATTTATGAAATGGTACCATTACTATACCCTATTTATGAAACTGGACCAAGAAATAAACACTATTTATGAAATGGTACCATTACTATACACTATTTATGAAACTAGACCAAGAAATAAACACTATTTATGAAAACAGTACCATTAATATACACTATTATGAAACTGGACTCAATAACTAGGCACTATTTATAAAATATGATCAAGAACTAGGCACTATTTATAAAAGTAGACTAAGAACTATACACTATTTATGAAACTGGACCAATAAATAGTGTACTACCGTTTTCATAAATAGTGTTCAATTTCATAAATAGTGTCTGTGATAGACGTGCGGAGTCCAGGTCTTTTTTTTTTAATTATATTAAAATTTTATCATTTTCATTCAAATTTAAATTCTTTTGTTATTTTTAGTAAAATTTAGGGATGTTTCATTAATATTTAATTTTTTCATTAAATAAAATTATTGCATAGTTTTTTTGTTAACTTAACCCAAACTCTTTTAATAAAAGGTATGTGGTCAATTAAATTTGGCCTCTCCCAACTTGTCCACGTGCATGCGCATGCCTTGGTTTTCTCCGGATGTAATCCTTTGATTGATTATAACCTTCTCTTCCCGTGCAAGTTAAAGAATAAAAAAATAATAACTACTACAAACAGATGCAGTAAAAACCGCAATCAGGTTTTTACAGTGATGATCCCAAGCCCCAGAAAATGACTAACGTCGACAGACCAACTTAATTACCAGGAAGCACGCCATAGAAAAGGTAACCAAATGTTGACAGTAAATTCTCACGTCGGGGAATGAGGGATCTTACATGTGTTTCTCATATTGTCAATTAATTTGATGATATAATTCTAACTTTTTTTATGATATCAAAACATGTTATGCAACGAATGAAGTTCAAAGGTCACACATATTTCACGTCACCAAATTTGTATTGTTTATGTTAGACTTGAAAATTTGTTACACACATAAGAGGTTGTGTTTAGAGTAAATCCGACATCGGAGGAAGGATGAACTTTGCATGTGTTCATAAAGAATTAGACTACTCTCAATATTATCAATTGATTTTATAGTAGAACCCATTATACTTTTTTGGTCTTGAAAAAGTAGAAAATTCCTGATTAAGTGCAGTTTGTGATCCCTAATATATATTTTGATCATGTTTTGTTTAATTGTTGTTTGGCATATTTAGACATGAATATTTCTCTTAATTAGTTGCATTAAGTTTACTATATATTATTACTAGCATATGGGCACACATAAAGTGTGTGAGAAAAAAAATTTATTTTTGTTTTTGAAATAGAAGGAGAAAGGAAAAGAGTGATAGAGCATGTGGGAGTCGGAAGTTTTTATTTTTTATTTTTTTAAAATTAATTAAAGATATGTTAGGATTACATGTAGGTGAGGTTTTGAAAACAAAAAACAGTAAAATTTGATTGTGTGAAATTACATTTCTGCCCCATATTCCTTATTCATGTTTTGTTTTAATTAGAAGGTTAATCTGGTAATTTCATAAGATTTTGGTTGACAATGAGTGTTTTATTAATTAGTAGAGATGAGCACTAAGCGCATATCTATAACCTAGTTGAATGTAATTTTTTTATTTATTTTAATAAGAATAAGGGCGGCGGCTTCCGAGCTTGTAGGACTACTCACCTTCGAATTTAAGAGAAGACGTTTTGCATCCTACTTCATTATATTTTAAGAAAAACTAATGAAAATAGCTTGAAAACTTTGAGTTTTAACGATAAGGACAAAATAAAGGGTAAAGTGAATAGTACTAAGATTGACTTTTTAGTTTAAAAATATGATTTTTTGTTAAGTGAACAGTACCGATAACTTTTCATTAAAGTTCTCTATATTTTAAAAAGAGGAGAAAAACTAATTTAGTAGACCAGTTAGACCAACCAATTAATAAGACTGCTCTCATGATGTGTAAGACTCGTCAACTAATGGTTGTACTACATCGGATTAGATGATATTCAAATATACGACATTACGATGATACTACAAATGATTATAAAATTTTGATAGTAAAGTGGGAAGAATTAAAGGCAAGATGTCATATAAGACAAAGTACAAGTTTCATTGGGGAGTGCCTAGTTTGTAATTTTTAATTTAATTAACTATGTGAAGACTCCATCCATGGCCCTAAAAAAGTTTGCTTGAACTTGAAGGGTAAACTGCTAGAAGCATGCTTAATCTATACTTTATCTTCTTTTTTTAATTAGGGTTTAAATTGATAATAAGCATGCTTAACTCCTATAATGAAAGAATTACAATGAGTAGTAAAGTAAAATTAGCCAAATTTGTTGCCTAGGAATCCGGTTCAGATTTTGACACAGACGAGACCACACATGCAACCCTAAGTGCTTAATTGGAAATCAGTCTGGTCAACATTCAACAATGTCATACCCATACACTTGCATTCCACGGAAGAAAGATATTTTAGTGGGTCGAGAATATAGAGAAGAGATCCGTTCCGGATTTCTCTCACCAAATCTTAGGAATCCGGAGATTCGATTTTTTGAAATTTAATTCAACAATTACAAACAAGAGGTCCTTTTAAAAGTTATAATAATCGTAACTCTTGAATCAAATTTCAAGAGTTCGGATCTCCGGATCTCTAGTATTTGGTGGGAGAGATCCGGAGGGGATTTCTTCCCGATAATACAACCCGTTACACCTGATATAATAATATAATAAATTAAAAACTTTAAAAAAAAATCACGAATTTTATTATAACAATTAGTGTAGTGGATTCCTCGCACACTAAAGAGTTTCTCCACACATAGATATAGCCGTTAGTAATAGTACCTACCTTGGAGCTTTTAAACAAGAAAAAATGGAGGAGAGGACCCTCCTTCACCCTCTCAAGTAGTAAAATATTATAAATAAAAAATAAAAAATGTTGTAGAAGGCTAGAAGCTACAGAAATTAATTAAATAACTAATTAAAATGACAAACAAGTAATAACATAACATGGGTTGCGAGCTGGGACTGACACAGAGAGGCCCGCGGAGTAGGGCGCTAACAAGCACATTCCTTGTATCCACTTGAACTCCAACAGAGTTTGCACACCAGAGAAAACGGAGTTGGGTCGGGTATCTCCATTTCTCCATCCCCTTCCTCAACTTGCCAAAAGAAATTTTTTATGGTATGGATACATTACTATTGTGACGTACTACATTAATCGTACAACGTGTTTAAATTATTTTCTATACAACATTGTATGATTAATATATAATGTCATAATAACGGCGTATCATATCAAATAAGTTGTTCTCCGTTATGAGTTTTGTAACCGAACTCGATTTTTTTTTTAATTCGATTTTATTTCTTTCCATCACTCTCATTTCTCAAACCCTATTAATATCAACCCTTTGGCCCACTGCTTACTCCCATGCACTTGTCTCCCTCCTCCTCAAGCATTCGGCATTCCTTCTCTCCTCTCTTTCTCTCTCTAGAATCCTATTTAAGTAGCACCTCATTATCTCATTCTCTCATTCTCTCTCAGCTCATACTTCTCCCGCTCATTTGTCTCTCATAGTTTTTTCTCTAGAAGAACTTCAAACTCTAATATTATTATTTCTTCTGAGTTTTCTGTCAGAACTTCAAACTCTAATATTATTATTTCTTCTGAGTTTTCTGTCAGAACTTCAAACTCTCCAAATATTTGACAATGTCGAGCAGAAGATCCTCTCGGTCGAGGCAGTCGTCGAGTAGGAACAACAACAGTATCAGTGATGACCAGATCACTGATCTCGTATCCAAGTTACAGCAGCTTCTTCCTGAGATTCGCCCTAGGCGTTCCAACAAGGTACACACACACACACACACACATATATATATGTATATATATAATATTTTGTCTTTTTAAAATTAAGTTTTGTTCTTCCTAGCTCTCTTGTAGTCTTTCATGTTTGTAATATACTGTTACAAAAATGAATACAATTATTCTTTTATGTGGCCTCCATTTGGTTAGATAATATGTAATGTAGAGGTTGATAAGTCACACTCGTCTCATTTATTCTGTAGCCACAACTTGAGGTGTGGGACTCCCATTGTTCCCCCATGCCATCCTCACCAGACCCTCTCATTTATACATATGTTTCTGTCTAAATTGAGGTAGATAATTAATTATATACTTAACTAATTAGTTGTATTAATTTGTTAGTTAACGTGTTTGGATTAATATTTTGGCAGGCGTCGGCGTCGAAGGTTTTGCAAGAGACTTGCAATTATATTAGAAACTTACACAGAGAGGTGGATGACCTAAGTGAGCGCTTATCAGAGCTTTTGGCCACGACGGACATGGATAACGACCAAGCAGCCATTATTAGGAGTTTACTTATGTGATGGTGTCTGTGTGTATATATATATGGAGCTTCCTAGTTAATGATGATCCGCATTCGGTATTAGTATTGTTAATCTCTTTTTGTCGTGAGCCTTTGATATATAAATCTGGCTAGTTAGCTAGCTAGGGTTTGCTCATTAGGCCAGAAGAAAGAGTTTTTTTCTTTTTTGATTAAGAAAAAAGAGTAGTTTAATTAATTACGTGCAGCAGTCCAATATCCTAGTGGATAGAATGTTGTATTTTTACTTATGCGTTTCAAGTTTGAAATTTTCTCCTCTTCTTAATTATTGTAGTAGTTTTGAACATTCCGTCTTCCAAATAATAGTAAAAAAGTTTAATTATTTATGTAACATGGAGTACTCTCCAGTCCAAGTCTACGCTATTACTTTCGACGACTTGTAGTAGGTAATTAATTTTTATAATAAAAAAAGCACTTTTAGACTTCTGGTTCCTTTTTTCATGGCAAACTTCTAGTTCTTTTTGTGTCGGATCATATATAATTCAAATCTCACAATCTATATCCATCTAGAGAAAACTGAAATGTCTTAATATTATCTGTTATATTTGATTGTGACACTTATCATGAATATTTAACTATATATATGCAATCGATAATACTATTTGTATATACAAAATTGCCAATATTTTTATGATACGTTTTTTTAATAAGGATGAACCCTTTTGTTATATGCAGAACATACCTGTATAAGAGAATATTTCGACAAATATAATAATTTTATGTGTCTAGATAACATTAAATATATATCAGCAATGCACGTGATTAGTTAATTATCAAAATAGTTAGTCATCTTACTTATCAAATTTTTATATTAAAATGTTAGATGTGGACTTGTAGAGGCAAGATATATTGGGGCAGATACACTGTCGATCGAACATGTGACTTTACCCCAAATATAAAATATATACCAATTTGGTAACGAGGTTGTAGCAAAATAATTCCCGTAAATTTGTTGCCTAATTAATTAATTAGCATGCATTAGTAGGACAATTATGCCATGGCAAATGAACATGATGCAGACAATCTCTGGTGCGTTCACATTATCAACTATTTAAAGTGGTCATTATACGACAAGTCGGTCCTAAAGAATTCTCATGCTCGTTTTTAATTATGAGGTTAATTGGAAGAGTTAGGCACGAAAGAGTTACCTAATAATTACTTCTATATGTGATTATCCCTCCACCAATGGTGGTGGAAATGAAAGGAATGTGGAATGGTTTTACAAGCGATAGTATCTAATTAATCTATATTATGGGAAGAGAGAGATCGAAATAATAGCAAAAATGGAGGAATACTGCTCTAATCAGCTTAGCTAAACCAAAATTTTGTAAATGTGGAAGGGTTAGTTAATTACAGAAAATAAGTAAAATACTAATTAAACAAACAAGTCTGATTGTTCCATGTGATTGTTCCACACTAGCGCATGACATTATCGTTTGACTCATCACTTATGTTGTCCACTTTTAATATTATACGTGGATTAGTAACGTAATTAGGATCACTTGACGGTCTAACACTCAATATTACTGTAAGGTCGATGGTATACCAGCTGATAGCCTGATAGCTTGATGCTCACGCAAAGCAGAAATTTACTATTTGATTGTGTACGTACTACGTAGTTTGAACTTTGAACAGAAATTATAGCTGACATAAGTGACTGTTTGGAAATTAGTCGAAAATGTAGTGCCTTGTATCACATGGAAGGAACAGCTTAATTAAATAGCGAATTACAAAGAAGATTTGTTTAGAAGATGTAAACGTTTCAATTACAAAGAAGATTTGCGAAAATGTTATTGATAAGATGTAAATGTTTCAATTAGAATCTAATAAAGTTTACCCTTTGACCAAAAAAAAAAAAAAAGAAGATTTGTTTAGATTAGATCGTCTAATCTTTTTTTTTCTTTCCCAAAAGATAAATAGCTTTTATTATATTGAAATCAAAGTCTAATCGTTTATAAAGTACCAAAATTCAAACTCTAGAAGAAGAAAGATAACAACTTTAATTTGCAAACTCCCCGCTACTCCCGCAAATATGGTAAAAAAAAAATTGGACAAGACATCGCATGTCTCTCAACGTGACAAACATATTTCTTGCAAGATAACTGATCTTGGTATAGATTTTGGAAAAAAAAAACAAAATTCTGTTGATCCACTTACCGTACTCAATTAGGAAATATCGAATTCATTAATTCAACTAACTACAAATGCATCCACATCAAATTTGAACTCACAATGTCGTTTTTTTTCATCAATTGCTCACCCATTTTTGCTAGAATTCGAGCATCCGACCTAAAATAATTGGCAGTGGATGAAGAGGCCCAAGATCTTCGAAGTACTTAGGCTACTTTGTTAGGATTCTAACTTTGTGTTGAGATGTAAGGGTCAAAGTACAGACTCGCATACATAGTTTCTAGAATGGTGGTTTTATTCACACACTCATTTACCTCTCCTACACCTCTCTCAATTTTCTGCCGTTAAGCCGATGTATTGAAGAAAATCAATAGACAAAAATTAATAAGAGTAATGTGTGAATAGCACTACCCCTTCTAGAGAACCAGGGCGTACGCCCCCCGACAGGCACGCCAGATGGAGATTGGGCCTTGAGCCGAGAAATACGTTTTACGCACTTTGGTCCAGTCCAAATTAAGTGTTCCCAACTATATAGAGGCCTTGAGCCTTGGCCGTTTCCTGGGTTGGGCTTTTTTTCTGGTCAACGTACTCTCTATTGGGCCTAGTCATGGCAGTTAGGCCCAATTATAAAGGTCCCTCAGGTCTCTGGCACATGTTTGGTTACTTGTTCAAAAAGCGAGCAACGTTGCTGACTTGCTGCCCAGCAACGACACGCAACACCGCGCTCTCACAGAGTCGTGGCTTTGTCTCTACGAACACTACAACTTCCCCCTCCTCCTCTGATACACTCGATCCCGAAACATCTACTGAGCTCAGGTGCTTCAATCAATTCTTCACGCTTTAAATTTCTAATTTTTTCCTAATTTTTTTTTCCGTTTAGTATTTTAATTTTGTGAAAATTTTGCATTTGTGAAAATTTCGACGATGGAATTGTAAATTGGAAGTTCGGAAGGTTAAGTTCTAAGATTTTGGTTGGAATATGGATTAATTGGACTAAAAAGTGTTTAATTTCATGAAATTTGTAAGATTTTTGGAGAAGATGAATTCTGGTGGATACGCCGTTGAAGTTACGGGTCTGTCTCCGAAAGCAACAGAGAAAGATGTCTACGATTTCTTCGCCTTCTCTGGTTCCATCGACCATGTCGAAATCGTCAGGTTTCGTGACATTTCTCACTGCTCAATCTCTAGTGTTTTCAGTATTTTATATGATGCTTATAATTTCTGTCTTACATTTTGGGATATAAATTTGTTCTTGTTATTTTGGGGAAAATTCAGATCGGGTGAATGTGCATGCACTGCCTATGTCACGTTCAAAGATTCGTATTCTCAGGAGACTGCTTGCTTGCTCAGTGTGAGTATTTCTTCTTACTCGTTGCAACTGATCATTTATGTGCTTGCTGCCTATGTTTCATGATCAAATTTGGATTAATGCACTATGCAGTTAAATGTAGTCTTAGTTGTTTTGTGTTGATCTTGAGCGATGATTATAGCGGTGCTCATAGCTCATTTCTGCCAGTTGTCCTGTTAAAATTTGTGTAAAACTTGCCAAATTGCTTTCGGCAATAAATTTGTGCTTGTGTACATAGCAAGAGAAAGATACTTTGACAAAAGAAAGATAATTATACTAAAGAATTCAGTGATGGAACTTTGACGCTATCCAAATTTAGCCTAAGATTTCGAGATACAGGGCTCAACTAGTGACCTTAACTAAATAAGTTGTTGCTTTGATGAAAGGGCTTCCGAGTTATCATAGTAGCCTCTAGCTGGAACTTGGTTATAGCACATTCCCATTATATGGTCTGTGCTCATATGTAGTTGCCTTCTGATGCCTAGGTGGTAACTGTTCTTCGGTTTCTTAGTATCTTTCTCGGCGATGATTTGTGAGTGTTAATTCATGTTTTCCCCTTAAAATCTTATTGTCTCAGGGTGCCACAATTATTGATCAAGCTGTGTGCATAACACGCTGGGGGCACTATCAAGATGAATTTGATTTTTGGAACAGGCCTCGGCATGAAGAGGAAACTGATTCAACTGTATGTATATTTTGTTTCTTTCTAAAGCGCAAATAATTTGGTTTCTCGTTTGCACATTTTCGCACACAAACCAAACTATTGTACTGAAAAGGGTTTGCAAGAGTAATCCATAAGTATGTCTTGGCAGCCTCCACATGGAAGCCAGAATGTTCCTAGTGCTGGACAAGTGGTGAGTGTGGCCCAGGAAGCAGTCTTGACCATGTTGGCCAAGGGATTTGTGCTCGGAAAAGATGCATTAGCCAAGGCGAAATCATTGGACGAGTCTCATCAAGTTTCGGCAAGTGCAGCGGCTAGGGTGACTGAACTGAGCCAGAGAATTGGCCTAACCAATAAGATTTACGCAGGGGTTGGAGCAGTGAAGTCAGTGGATGAGAGGTATCATGTGTCAGAGATCACCAAATCAGCCATATCAGAGACGGGAAGAAAAGCCGCAGAAGCTGCAAACGCTGTGGTGAACAGTAGCTACTTTTCCAAGGGAGCTCTTTGGGTGTCGGATGCTCTAAACCGAGCAGCTAAAGCTGCTGCTGATTTGGGAAGTCAGAATATTAGGCAGTGAGGTATTTGATAAAATGATATACTCCTGTTGTGTTTGTATATAGAACAGAATATTGTAGCCATTTCGTATTTTCGGTACGTTAGTATAAATTCTTGCTATACATAATGATAACCCAGAAGAACATTACAAAGAGGAGAAATGAAAAGAAAATTATTTACAAAACCATGAAAGAAAACATTATTAACATCCAATTGGTTTACAAACCAGTTGTATTGAACAGCTGAAGTGAGATGAAATCCGATGGTGACGACCCTTTGCAACCAGTATGGCCTTGTATCCATCTGCAGAACAGAACCATCAGGGTTTCTTTTAATTCAAAGTGCCTGTTTGTTGTGCGGCATTACGCTCTTCTTGCATTGCAGTCTTCCGTCGAGGTTATTAGCAAACTCGGAAGAAGATGGAGCAAGAGAAGTTGGGAGAGGGCGTTTGGTAGCAGAGAAGGCTTCTGGTTTGAAGATTGTTCGATTAAGTGGACGAGAAGGAGAAGGAGAAGAAGCAGAAAGAGAAGAAAATACCTTTCGTCTGGAGGCTGCTCAATTAGGCCGATAAGGAGAAGAAGCAGATCGATAAGTTGGAGCACGATTAGGAGCATGATTACGAGCATTAACAGAATCAGAACAAGAAGAAGAGGGAGCTTTTGTAGAAAGAAGGTATGATCATCGATTTGGTATGATCTTGAAACTCAAGCTCAAGATATGATTGG